TTCGTCAATGAAAAACACTTACCTGGCTTCATGTCACCGCTCCAGTTCTCTCTTTGATTCCAGCACCGCTCTCCTCACTTCCTGTGTACCTGTCCTACCCCTCTCCATCAATGAAAAACACTTACCTGGCTTTATGTCACCGCTCCAGTTCTGTCTTCGACTCCAGCACCGCTCCCCTCACTTCCTGTGTACCTGTCCTACCCCTCTCCGTCAATGAAAAACACTTTCCTGGCTTCATGTCACCGCTCCAGTTCTGTCTTCGACTCTAGCACCGCTCCCCTCACTTCCTGTGTACCTGTCCTACCCCTCTCCGTCAATGAAAAACACTTTCCTGGCTTCATGTCACCGCTCCAGTTCTGTCTTCGACTTCAGCACCGCTCCCCTCACTTTCTGTGTACCTGTCCTACCCCTCTCCGTCAATGAAAAACACCCACCTGGCTTCATGTCACCGCTCCAGTTCTGTCTTTGACTCCAGCACCGCTCCCCTCACTTTCTGTGTACCTGTCCTACCCCTCTCCGTCAATGAAAAACACTTACCTGGCTTCATGTCACCGCTTCAGTTCTGTCTTTGACTCCAGCACCGTTCCCCTCACTTCCTGTGTTACCTGTCCTACCCTCTCCGTCAATGAAAAACACTTACCTGGCTTCATGTCACCACTCCAGTTCTGTCTTCAACTCCAGCACCGCTCCCCTCACTTCCTGTTTACCTGTCCTATCTCTCTCCGTCAATGAAAAACACTTACCTGGCTTCATGTCACCACTTCAGTTCTGTCTTCAACTTCAGCACCACTCCCCACACTTCCTGCTTACCTGTCCTAACTCTCTCCGTCAATGAAAAACACTTACCTGGCTTCATGTCACCACTTCAGTTCTGTCTTCGACTTCAGCACCGCTCCCCTCACTTCCTGCTTACCTGTCCTACCCCTCTCCGTCAATGAAAAACACTTACCTGGCTTCATGTCACCGCTTCAGTTCTGTCTTTGACTCCAGCACCGCTCCCCTCACTTCCTGTGTACCTGTCCTACCCCTCTCCGTCAATGAAAAACACTTACCTGGCTTCGTGTCACCGCTTCAGTTCTGTCTTTGACTTCAGCACCGCTCCCCTCACTTCCTGTGTACCTGTCCTATCTCTCTCCGTCAATGAAATACACTTACCTGGCTTCATGTCACCGCTTCAGTTCTGTCTTTGACTCCAGCACCGCTCCCCTCACTTCCTGTGTACTGTCCTATCTCTCTCCGTCAATGAAATACACTTACCTGGCTTCATGTCACCGCTTCAGTTCTGTCTTCGACTTCAGCACCGCTCCCCTCACTTCCTGTGTACCTGTCCTATCTCTCTCCGTCAATGAAATACACTTACCTGGCTTCATGTCACCGCTTCAGTTCTGTCTTCGACTTCAGCACCACTCCCCTCACTTCCTGCTTTCAAAGGAGACACTGGAAACAGTGGAGTCATAGGCTTCTACTGTCATCACTCAAACTCCTGTGATGAGGGAGTGGGGCATGTAACAGGAACCAATATTAGTTTGCTTGCTACAGGAGGCACCCAAAGGAGGGCGCAGTCAACAGCGCTGGTGGGAACTGCCAGAAGAGGAGGTAAGCAATGTAAATATAGTATAACATCTTTTTTTATAAAACAAACTGGGCCTTTAGTATCACTTTAAGAATCAGTTTCAAGGTAAACATACTGTATATGTTATGACATGAACATTATGCACATATACAGTATTTTATACATTAACATGCTGGCTGCTGCTTTCTCCTACGCTTTTTTTTCTTGCAGTCTCCTACTTTGTTCAGCTTCCTTGCTCATGATACTTTTGCTGGCTCCACTGTACAGCCTACTCACTCTTCACATCTCTGACACACCGTGAAGTCCTGCTCTCTAAATTGTTCTTCATACACATTTTTACTTTTACTCCACACTGTCATCATTTTCTGCTTTTCCTTTATCACACATGTTTTTATCTCCTCTCCTTTGTTCTTTCAGTTCTCAAATCATTTCCATATATCATTATTTCACTCAGAATAATGGCACCAGAAAACATTTTGCTCTTTGCTCATGACAACCATGGGGTTCCATTTAGTTGGTCAGGAGCACTGTTCTCTAGGAGGTTGTGATGGATCACCTGGCACCCTACCTGGCTGCCTCCACCCAACAGTGCCTCCTGCCTTCCAGCAAATACCAGCCCTTTACCCCAAGCATCATACATAAGATGTTGAGGTAAAACCAAAGGAATAAATTTATTGAACAGAAATACATGTTTTTATACACTTTAAAAACAGGGACAGTCCCCACATGAACAATAAAAACAAATATTACACATTGTGGTAAACATCCCGCAATGGTTGGGTAAGGAGGTACAGTTGACACAGGCCTAATCACATCAAGACAGAAACAATAAGTTACTCAATTAACAATGGGAATTCACATCTATGAGGCACACAATGGGGAAATTACACAATGGGAGAAACGCATTTCACACCTTGACAAGACAGGCAAACACAGATGCATATTATAGCATTAAACATTTAACACCTTAATAAACAGATTACACTTAACAGCAGGAGTCCCATCAAGTTGTTTTGAGCTGATTCTAATCTCCTGCTTTGAGTCTCCAAGTCTAGGAGGGGGTTGAAGCAGTCAGTACTGGTTTGGGCCTGTTGAATCTATACCACAACAAAACACAGAGACCCCAAATCTCTTTCTGGGCCCTCCAGTTCTCAGAGTCTGTGTGTTTCAGGGAGACATATACTTGAATCTGAAGAAAAACTACTTCAAAAGGTCCTCTAGGCACACACCTCCCAAAGAATAGAGCCCCCTCAAACGTCAGAGCCCATAATCAATAGGCAAGAGACTAGCCTGCAGTCCCCTCCAAAAGCCCCTCTCCCGGTTGGGTCTTGTCACATTGGCATTTTGGGAATTGGAATTAGAGTGATGTTGCATAGTGAAGGTCTTTTCCATCTGATTCAATGATGACATTATGTGCTTACAATACACCCTTATATGCTGCTATTTTAAGTATAGACGGGCTGAAGGAAGCCATGTCTATAACCAGCTACTCCCACTACTAAAAGAGCAATTTAGATTCAGATCCTTTAGCCCTATGGAAAACTGCAGTGAGAACTGAAGAATATAGACACAAATAAACTAGACCTATACCTGATTTCTGTTGGCACACACTAGTCATTTTAATGCATGTTAAAAGCAAGAAGGCTATAAAATGCACAATACTCTTGTTGGGAGGTGCAGCATGGTGCAGCAGCAGTAACTACACACAGTACAGCTGTGGGAACAAAATCTGTATTGATGGCAAAGTTCAGTTTACAAACAGCCCGGCGGGAGGACACCTGATTAGTAACACACAGTATGTCTCAGCAATGTAGAACAGAGCAGGCCTTGAGTGTACGGACTCTCTCAGAGGGCAGAAAGCATCCTGACCAGTCTGCACCCAAGGATTCCAGGAAGGATGGCGTGTCCCTATCCTGCCCCTACTCATCTGGAACATTTCCCTACCACTATTCACTGTCCCTGACAGATGGGAGACCTGTCCCTACGATACCCACTTGCAAAATGAATGCCAAGCCTTGGAGCCAGAGTCTTAATTAGACTCTGCCTGAACCAAGATGGCCACCAGAGTTACATGGGATGGCAGCATTCAACTGGAATGCTTCCCCAGTGACCAGGAAACCATAGGAGTATGTTCCTCTTAACTTCCTCTCCCTCTGCAATGCCTCTGTGGTTGAGTGCCATATGCAGTGGAGAAAATAGATTACACCTGCCTACACTTTGAATACATTGTATGAAAATCCCTTAGATCCCACTTTTATAAAGCAATCATAGACAAAGCCATGTATTTAAAAGACAAGATGCAGACAGTGATAGTCTTTGCTGTGCAGAGAAATACACAGCAGCATGCTACTGCTGGCGGGAGAGACCAGTGTTGTTGACACACAGGTCTCTCCCCTATCAGTGATACTCGGTGATCACCGGGTGCTTGTTGGGACCCAGTGATTGACATCTGTAGCCGCCAATGGTGGTGCGGGTAGGGTGGCGTGCTTGCGCCCCCCCACCCGTAAATGCGAAATCACGTATATATTCGTGATTTTGCGCAGTCCTGCTGCCCTGTAGCAGTAGTTCTGTAGGGGTAAGTGGTAAATCCAACATTAAAAGCGTTTTGTTATATGTGTTCAGTAAGTGCAAATCAGGGGCGGACTGACAACTCATCGGGCCCCGGGCAATAGGGGATCATGGGGCCCCTGTGTCCTTGCCCAAACTCAAAAAAGCCTATGAAAAAGGTACCAGGGGCATCTCATGGGGCCCCCTACTGCCCCCTGGGCCCTCAGGCAGTGCCCGAGTTTCCAAATGGTCAGTCCCCTGGTACAAATAATACCTGTTGATCCTGCTAGAAATCCAATGTTGTCCCATTTCCTGTGCACTTTGCAATGCTATCTCAAGCAGTGTTGCTTGAGTGTGTTACAGAACACTCCCCCCTATGTTATGGAGATGAGGAGTGGGAAAGGAGTTCTGCAGTTCTAACGCACAACCCACATATTACAAACTTGATGTACAATCTCTTTTAGATCCAACAAAAACTGTGCAGTGTGGAGGGCTTGCCTGATTTGACACACGGTGATTGTATAGTTCAGGTTGGTGCTCATATTGCATAGTTTTAGTAAATCTAAAGTTGATTGTACAGAAATTGTATGGTCAGACTGGGGTTTATTTACTAAAGCTAGACAATGCAAAACTGGGGGCCAGGTCATACCATAGAAACACAGTCTGGATGCTTTTCTGAATGCGCGATTTTGATTTGTTCCGGTGTGTTTCTGATAAATGTTTTATGCGTTCTAGTTAATTTTTTCCTCCTTTCTTTTTCTTCATCTTAAAGTGTTACTAAACCCACAATAGTAATATCAGTCTGTATATGCAGTAAAGCATGCTTGTTATACTCACTGTGGAACCTAAGGGCTTAATCCTCAGCATTGTGTAAAAACGCTGTTTGATCCTGTGTTCTCTGATCCTCCGCTTCTTCCAGTGCCCCCCTCTTATCTCCTGATAAGACGTATCGTGTGGAGTCACTCTGCAAATGCTCAGTTTGGTGTGTACTGCTAGAGAGGTTTTTTTTTGTAGCTTTTTTTCTTGAGAGGGTGCATGTGATCAGCACAGGGCCAATCAGCACTGTCCAGACAGAGATCAGGGGTCCTGCATCCTCCTACAGCAGAATGAAAACTCCTCCTACAAGCTTTAGCAGTGCACTGCTGAACACTGATAGAAGTCACAAGACTGCTCTAACTGCTGATGAGAAAAGGCATTTAGCAGTTTATATTTACTAAAATAATTGCATTTCCATGTTCTGTGTACTGTGGGAGACCAGATATAGTGAATGCAGGGTCCTGGGTTTAGTAACACTTTAATAGGCACATGTGTGGTCCGATGCATTTTTGGGGCGTTTAGGTACATTCCAGTGCGTTTTTGATGCATTTTACTGCATTCCAGTACAGTTCAGTGCAGAAAAAATTCATCATGTTCTACTTTTTTTTTCTGGCACTGGAACACACTGGAACTGACCTCACTGGTGTGAACTACTGTATGACATTGGAAACTATGTAATTACTATCAGGCTATATTCACTCCTATGCAGGTTGCCTTTGACCCATTTCTGCATTGCGTTTTGCATTGCATTTTGCACCTGCATTTGTGACACAATTTTGCTGCGTTTCGCGTTTCTTTTTTAATTTTTTAAAATTTTTCTTGTTGCTAGGCAGATTTAAAGTGCAAAAGGCAAAACGCATCAAAAGCACAGCAAAAACTCACTACATGCTTTTCTGCAGCGTTTCCATTGAAGTCTATAGAACCAAAAACGCAACTTTTTGTGTTCCAAAAAGTCTCTGACCCTTTCCAAAAAACACACCGAGTGAAAACATGGAAATGTGAACATGTTCCATAGGAAATCATGTTAAATGGACTGTACTGCGTTCCTGCAAAATGCAAAACGCTGTGGAAAACGCTTAGGTGTGAACCTAGGGTTAATGCATTTTTGATGCAGAAACAAAACGCACTGGACTGCATGTGGTGTGAACTGTCCCAGAAACCAATCATCTTCCAGATTTTATTGCCAGAGCTTAATTGAACAAGCTGTGGTTGGAAGCTGATTGGCTACCATGCACAGGTGCACCAGATTCTGAGTGCACCACTTTTAGTAAACCCCCCCCATTGTGTATTGAGAACTCAAAACCCTTTCCATCCTAGGGTGACAAAACCACTCCTTCATTGATACAGTACAGTGAGTTAGTGTTGCCACCTAAAGATAGGAAATGTCCAACTGGCAGGATCACCAGATGACAATTAAGCCTGAAAAACAGAAGACTAATGCAACTACCGCATCATATAAGCTGTATATATTCAGAAGCGGGGGTTCCTCTTTAACGACTGGTCCCCCGCTCCCTGTTAAGGATTGGCACCATTGGGGAGCAGGTACCCGAAATTGACAGGTACCAGCTCCCACTGTCCTCACTGTTCTCCCTCCATCCCTCCCTCTTTGGGACACGTGACAGGTCGCAGAAGACTACGGGACCATTCACAAAGCACAGTGCTACTTGCGCATGCGCAGTGAGCACTGTCACAGCCGGGTGCCCACACTGAAGATGCCAGCACCGGGAACACCAGATGGCTGGTGAAACGGAGGACAGCACGGGATCGAGGGACAGGTAAGTGTCTGTTTTTTTAAAAATCAGCAGCTACAGTTTTTGTAGCTACTAACTTTTATTTATTTTTTATTTTCACTGGAACTCCACTTTAAGTTTTTGTCCCTGGATTTAAATGACATTTAAGGCATCAGTAAGCCTGGGTTCATATATATGCGGTGTGGTCAAGGGCGACTGACCATTTGGAAACTCGGGCACTGCCCGAGGGCCCGGGGTCAGTAGGGGGCCCCATGAGATGCTCCTGGTACCTTTTTCATAGCTTTTTTGAGTTTGGGCAAGGACACAGGGGCCCCATGATCCCCTATTGCCCAGGGCCCCATGAGTTGTCAGTTCGCCCCTGGGTGTGGTATATCGCATGTGATTTGTACAGGAACCGTACCACATTTCTGTGCAAATCACATGCGATTTGTGCACAGTGCGATTGGAGCCATACTTTGTATTTTGTATGGCTCTAATCGCACCGCACCCACACCAAAAAGGTGCAGGACCCTTTTTTTGGCCCGCACTAGAATCGGATTGCATAGGTATTCACACCTATGTGATCCGATTCTGCACATCGCACTGCGTTTTGCGGACCAATTTTGGGGTGCTGTTAACATACACAACCACAGTGGTTCGCATGAATGGGGTGCAAGCCTGATACGGTGTGGATTTCGCACAGAAAATGCTGCAATTCTGCACTGCATGAGTGTGAACCAGGGCTAAAGAATAACCTTTTGACCACAGTTCCACTCCCAGCCTAAAATGAGGGACCACAAACAATCTTTAGAGAAAGACGAATCCGTGATGTTAAAAAGATTAAAAAAAAACTTCAATGGGTTGCTAACACACTACTGCCCTTTGGTCAATGTTACCAGGCAATCAAATAAGTATCCAGTAAAAAATTAATAAAAACAGATACCATTAACTAATTCACAACCCGTGCTCAGTTTGTTTTGTTTCTATCAGTGTTATAAAATATGAAATGTAAACGACAGTCTGCATTTGTAGATGATTAAAAGTTACTGTAGTCCCTGTTCCTGTTCATGAAGGCAGCGCTGTTGCTATGGGAACAAAAATGATCATGAAAAAAATAAGTATAAATCCAATGTAATTAAGAAGAAACAAAATAGGGCAGTATAACTTCAGTAATCAGTCTGTAAGTCCTATTTACTTCTGATAAACGGATCTTAGTCCTGATGGGTATAATGTGTCCATTAGTTGCCTTTGCTAATTTCTTTTTTGTAAAAAAAAAATGTTTCTTAGTCTTCTGCATATATCAGAATCTGCTATGATTATGCTACATAATTAATGTGCTGTCTATCAAAAAATGTCCAATAGAGAGCACAGGAGAAAACAATAGGGCATCATCCTCAGGTGCTCACAGCTTACGTGGAGGGGAATCGCTAAACCCTGGAGGGTACCTGAAGAAATTCAGCTTGTAGCAACATTCATTTACGGATCACAAAGGTCTTAACAGGTTGCCAACACTTTGCAAACAGTCTTCAAGCACAGGGCAAGTTTTCCTGCTAATTAGTCCTCATGCACACTAGACGTTTTTACTGCGGCTGTTTTTGGCTTTTGATGTTTTTTTTCTACAGCTAGTAAACCCCCCAGCATAGACTGTAATAAACGTTTTTTGGCTGGAAACAAAAACCCAGGACTAGTGGGTTTCTAGAGTTTTTTAGCTGTAAAAACACTCCAATGCTGAAAAACGTAGCAAAACGCATTAAACGCTGTAAAATGAGGTACAACGCAGCATTTTAAAACTTAAACCAAAGCAAAGAATTTTTTTGCTATACGCAAGCATTTAACTGAATGAAATTGATTCATTCAGGTTTTTTTGTTGTGATTAGCTGTGATTGGCCACAGCTAATCACATAACACAAATGGGCTGTGATTGGCCCAGCCTGTGAATGTGATCACTGTGACCATTCATAGCTAGACACACTTGTAAACAATGGATGGCATAAAAGGAAGTCATCCATTGTATACAACTGTCAAGTGACCTGCTGTGATTGGTCACAGCAGGTTACATGGTATTGGCAAAGGGGGCCAGTACACAGATCTGTCATCGGCCGTGTCCGAGGTACATATCAGGTGATGGATCTCGCCACAGTGCGGCCCTGCGGGCACGTGCAGAGCGCGATCTGGGAAGGACGTCATATGACGCCCTACCGGAGGGAATAGAGGTTCACCTGGATGTCATTTTACTATAGGCTGGGCGGGAAGTAGTTAAAGTGTTACTAAAACCAGGACCCTGCATTCACTCTATCTGGTCTCCCACAAAACACACATTGTTTAGTAAATATAAACTGCTAAATGCCTTTTCTCATCAGCAGTTAGAGCAGTCCTGTGACTTCTACCAGTGTCCAGCAGAGCAGTGGTAAAGCTTGTAGGAGGTGTTTTCTTTCTGTTCTAGGAAGATGCAGGACCCCTGACATCTGTCTGGATAGTGCTGATTGGCCCTGTGCTGATCACATGCACCATTCCAAGAAAAGAAAACACCGCTCTAGCAATACACACCACACTGAGCATGTGCAGAGTGACTCCACACAATATGTCTTATCAGGAGATAAGAGGGGGGACACTGGAAGAAGGGGAGGATCAGAAAAGACAGGATCACACATCTTTTTTTACACAGTGCAGAGGCAAACCCCTTAGGTTCCACAGTGAGTAGGACAAGCATGCTTTTCTGCATATACAGACTGATATAACTGTTGTGGGTTTAGTAACAGTTTAACTAATAGGATGTACCTTGTATGCTCCACAGCCATTCTGCGCTGAGCACACACTCACAGGCGTTGCTGTCCCAGTCTGGTGTCAGTTTGAGAGTTGATTCACACAGGTGCAGTGCAGATTGAACCTCAGGTTTTACAGCTAATTGACACAGTAGTTGTTCACAGGTCCATGTCAGGTTCAGGACAGGATTAGCTCAGGATCTTATCCTGTTCACACAAATGCAGTTTAGGAACAGTTCCCAAAGCCGTCAATAGCCTGTAATTCGCACCTGAACTGGACCGCACTGCTCAGAAATTGGACATGACTCTTTTTTTTAAACCGCACTGAATCCGCAGCGCCAGTGCACCGGACATACATGAACAGGCACAATAGGAAGCAATGTTATTTTATATGTCATACGGATTGGATGCGATTCAAACCACATTCAATCCACATTTATGTGAACCAGCACAGCCAGTTGAAGTCCTGATCTGTGTATCTGATCTGCTGTTGTTTTCCCATCATTGGGACGTAGCTGTGCAAAATGGGTAGGGGCGCGCGCGCGAGGCACGTGCCCGCCCTACCCGTCCCGCTGATAGAAGGAAGCGGGTGTCCATCACCAGATCCCGGCGGGTCATTACCTGCCAACTCCGGTAATCACTGACAGATAGCACGGCTGCAATGTTTACATTGCAGCTCTGCTATCTGTCAGTTCAGAGCACGCTGAACCTGAGAGAAGTACAGTGTCAGTGTTTTTTTTTTGCACTGATCACTGTATTGGTGTCACTGGGGATGTCAGTGACCCCAAGTCAGTTCCCCCCCAGTGTCAAAATGTCTGACGCAGTAACGCTATAAGTCGCTGATCACTGCCATAAGTCGCTGATTGCTGCCAGTAGTATAATAAAAAAAAAAAATCCCAGTATCTTTCC